TGTTTATATTGAGTCTAATTTAACTAGTTAGAACATGTTACTTACACTATTTCTATGTCACCATATTAGAGTTGGGTATGATTAATTACTTCCTCTGTTCCATTTAGCATAATACATAAAAATGTGGTTCCCTTTAACTTGACTTAAATTGATATTTATGTCATCTAACTTTGAGTGTGCATAAGTAGAGTACTCTTAAATTTGTATATAATTGAACAAGTAGACATACACGTCCTATGTGACATCCTACATGACCTCCTATGTGTATTATGTCACACGTAGGACATGTTTGTCTACTTGTTTAACTTTATACAAGTTTAAGTGTCTACTTATGCACATTCAAAGTTGGAGGACACATATGTTAGCTAAAGGGCACGTTTACGTATTATGACGTTCCATAAAATGAGCACTTAATAGTTAGTTTCAGAAAGTGTTAAAATTTGCTATTTGGAAACAATTGAAGTACTGTAAGTTTTGTGTTTTATAATTGATGACATGTTTTTATAGTCACATAAATGTTACAATACGAATTTCAAAAGGTATTTTATTCTAATAGGTAAGTGACACAAACTTCTTTTTTTTCTGGAATTTGTAATACCAGTTGGATGTAAGAGGAAATATGTTTGGAGTATTGGCTGCACATACACTGAGACCTTTGGTATCTCTGCATCATTTGGAGATGAATGATCCTATATTTCCAAACATGACGAAAATGAAATCTCTGGAGCATTTATACGATGCTGCAAAGTACGATCCTCATCGTATTTTGCAGCAAACAGTATGCTACGATCGTTGGTTTACTTGGACAGTTTCTGTATCGTGGGGATACGCTGTTCAAGTTTTCAGCTATAACATCTTCTTGCCCGATGCTCTACGTATACAGGAGAGTTATTTTCCGTGGCAAATGAGTGATTTAGCTAGACATTATGACTTTGATACAAGGCCATATGAACCTGATCCTTGCAAAAGACAGCTTGTTTATTTTCTACATAATGTGTCTACTGGAATTAATGGACAAATCAAGACTATTTACAGGAAAAAAACCCCTGAGAATTGTACTATCACAATGGTGTCACCTAGAAGACTAGAAGAAATCAGAGTTGTTTCACAAAAGCTAGAAATCGACAGAAAACGGGTAATGTTCCTCTCTTTAACAACATTTCACTATAACAACCGTGTTTTCTGTAGAAATTAATCTTACATGTTATGTTATATGAGGACAAACGATACTGTTATAGAAAGGTTTGACTGTACTACTAAGTATCATTCTGTGTTTACTTTCTGAAACATTTGATCTAATCAATGACATATTATGTTATATGAGGACAAACGATACTGTTATAGAAAGATTTGACTACACTACTGAGTACCTTTCTGTGTTTACTTTATGAAACATTTGGTCTAATCAATGACATATTATGTTATATGAGGACAAACAATACTGTTATAGAAAGGTTTGACTGTACTGTTGAGTACCATTCTGTGTTTACTTTGTGAAACATTTGGTCTAATCAATGACATATTATGTTATATGAGGACAAACAATACTGTTATAGAAATGTTTGACTGTACTGTTGAGTACCATTCTATGTTTACTTTGTGAAACATTTGGTCTAATCAATGACATTATATATGCAGTTGCTATCACCAAGAAGACAATGCTGTGATGTATTACCATCTACATCAAGAAATGTGATGGATGTCGCGATAAGAGAATGCAAAGAAGACGAACTGATATTCATACACCCTTAGTTGTTGTGACATTCAACATGTCGATATTTGATGGCAAATTGGTGATGGGATATGAAGGATTTATAAGAACAGAGGATTTTCGGCGGTTATCCCCAATTAAGCCAATACTATTTTGCTTTCTCCAAGCATAACATCTACTCTCCTTTGCTTGTGAGGTAGATTTAGGAAAGCAGTTTAGGAAATTTAACTATGAAGTTAGTAGGATTAGAGTGTACTTAAGGAAAAGGGAATTATAATTATTTAGTATGTAACTACAAAGCTATGCACATCTGCATAAGCAATCAAATGTGAAGAAACTTGGGAGTTAATCAAAGAAAAAAAAACTCAAATTTGACTTTGAACTTTTTTTTTTTTAATAATGTGTAGTTCTGTTATTATTATATAAATGTGACATGCTTCTCTCTCTATCATGAAATACTAATATGTATGATTAATTAACTTGTTTGAGCTCTGACTCTTTACCAGTAATCATGCGGTAAGGGTCGAGAGGTTCATTCAAATTCTCTTAAGCGGAAAATTACACTGTTTATATATAGTAGAAGTTGAACTTTTTTTTTTTTTTTTTTTGTGTATTTACTTCTTCATATTTTGAACTCCATAATAAAAATTATAACTCTGACACGAAATATAATGTTAATATGACAAAATAAGAGTTTAGATAGGTATGGACCATAAAGCTACTAATTGTGGGGCTCAATATTTTGGTGAATTGGGTAGGGCAAGGATGAAATTACATTAAAGTTGGGGAGAGAGATTGAAATTAGTTAATGTAATTGAACATGAATAGTTTTGGATTATAACTATAATAACAAAATGATTATAGTTTAAGGTGTTAGGTTGAGGGCTATTAAGAAGTTAAAAAAATATAGCTTAGAGGTACTTTTTACTCTTTTAGACCGATAGACGGAGGAATGATATTTGTGAGCTATTTTTCATAAAGATATTTTTGACCTTTTTTCAATTTTTTGAAAATGTTTTTCTCTTATATTGTAAATTTGTAATCCACTGCTTTTTTAACATTGTTCGTTTGTTCTATTATTATTGTATATATTACAATTTTTTTTAAATGTTTTTCTCTTATATTGTAAATTTGTAATCCACTGTTTTTTTAACATTGTTGTAAAAAAAGATGGAGATGCGGGGTATCGATCCCCGTACCTCTCGCATGCTAAGCGAGCGCTCTACCATCTGAGCTACATCCCCTGTTTGTTTATACTTAACGTTTTCATAATAGTATAAAATTTATAGCTGGTTAAAGTAACACAAATATTAATAATACATAAATTAGTTATGAAAAATTTATATATTATTTTATGCAAGGTTTGGTTATTCATGTATTACTAGTATATGGATTCACTCATAACTTATATATATATATATACTGAATATCAAAATCAAACACCATATTAATTTAAAACTATTTTTATTTTTACTTCTTACTCCTTCCATTTCATTTTATTATTCCATTACAGTCTGACTTGACACTTTCTTTAAGAAATTATTTTTTCAGAATTTTTGTTACTTAATTACTCATATTAACTATATTTTGATATTCTAAATTAGACTAATGTTAGAAGAAAGTAATAAATTTCATTTTTGTCTAGGAAAAGACGAGTATTCCAGCGAAGAAAAATGATGAAAGAAATAAAAATTACATTTTGTTTATTCATAAGTTCGACACTTTGCAAATGACACTCGTTTAATATGCTAACGATATTTGACCAATGATAAGCCCCAAAACAATTATCATTAAAAATAAATGATTTAAATATTAGTCAGTTAATCGAATTATTTGATCAAATCAAATTCAAAGTTGAAGTCGAGTTGAGTGACAATGTTGACATGAAGGGAGACTCTCTTCTCAATTCTTTAAGAGTTAGAAGAAGTTTTTATATATTTAAATAAGCATAAAAGTTTCCTCTTCCTATCTAACGAAGGACAAAGAAACTTTGTTCAAAATTATTTTCCTCCAGTTCCCAATTCACTTCTTTAGCTAAACAAATACTCAAAAATTCTATACATGAACGAGGAATAACTTTATAATATATGCATGCATCTTTTTTATGTTATTCATAAATAAAAAAATAATTGCATCTAAATGACCATATTTCTCTTTAAACTTTTATAGTGATCGAACATATGTCGCATATGTTCGGACAATCAGTTAATTTGATTTCTTTTGAACCATTGACCTTTGATGTATACCTAGAAAATCATAAGTCGCATAATCAGCCATTTAATCATCTTTGATTTTCATTATCTTATTTATTTCATGAGTCATGAATACAACATAATTTTATAAGTGCATATAGAATTGACCTGATAAAATTCTCTTTGAAATGATCTACATTTCACATTTACATAGATGATTCTTATACATGTAAAATAAGTAGATTTATTATTTGATAATCCAATATCAAACATAAAAACCAATAAAAAGTAGTAACGATTTATTCTTGGTATTGAACTGTCTTCATAATGAAAATGGATCAACATTTTTATTTTTGACAATGTTGAACCATCTAACCATAATATTGTTTTCCTTGTTGAATTTAGATCCTTGAATTTTCAATAGTTTAGATAGAGTTACTTACCTCCATGGTGACTTGTCCTTGACCATGCCTCATTTCCTTCAGTAATTTCTCAATCGCTTTTCTAGTTATTCGGCCTTTTATAAGTAAATCCGACACATTATTCTTTGTTTACGCAGCCAATTATGAAAATTTCATTAGAAAGCAGTGGCGGAGGGAGGATTTTCATCAAGGGGGTTAAAAAAATAAATTAATCACATAAATAATAGAGCACGTACATATATCTAAAAACTTAAATAGATCATTACAATTGTACTCTGCGAGGTTTCATATCTTGAAATGTCTTAATAATAGCATCATTAGGAATACTATCAAATACATCTTTTTCTACAAAAGGCACCAAACAACCACTAAAAAAATCTTCACTCATTTGACTTCGCAAGTCATTCTTGATAAACTTCATTGCCGAGAAAGCTCTTTCAACGAATGCAGTGGCAACTGGTAGAAGTAGAGGAAGTTTCACTAAGCGGAACACCAAAGGATAATTTGAATGTTTTTTTGTTTGGACTAATCTTTTGGAAAGATCACAAAGTCCATTTAGATCAGAGAACCTTTCATCAACATCACGAACATCAACAATGTAACTTGCAAGTTGATTCTCAAGAGTATCCATATTAAATTCATCAAAATCATCTGGATATAATTCAGCCATCCTCATTATTTTTCGTTGTCAAAACTTGAAATCGAGTTAATTGGATTCAAACAAGCAATTCCATGGAGCAAATCAGTAGATACCTCATTAAAACGATCATTAAGCTTTTGAAGTTGTCAATCAATAATATTGCAAAACACTTCAACACGGTAATGATGTAAGACTGTATAGTGAGAAAGTCTTCGCCGTGATCTTAAAGAGCTAACATATGGCTCCTCAAAGTTAGGTATCAAAATTTCATGTTTGGTACAAAATATAGATACCTTAGCAATAAGAGAATTCCATTCATCATCCCTTAAAACTTGCAACCTTTTCTTTGCTACTTCAACAAGTAGCATGGCATTTGCAACATCTTGCTCCTTTCTTTGTAAGCATTTATTGAGCTCATTTGTGATTGCTAATACATCTCTCATCAAATGCAACATGAACGCAACCTCAAATGTTTGACAAGATTCAAGATGTCACATTGCCTTGGCTCTTTCATCCATACTTCGTGCATCAAGAGCAAGTGATTCAAGAACTTCAACAAAAGAGCCAAACATAAAAATAAAATTGTTAAATGATTTATAATGAGATCCCCAACGAGTATCACAAGCTCTTGAAAGATCAAGTTGTTGATTCAAGCCCTTACCGATTGTCAGTTCACCCATATCTAATGCATCTTGAATTGCTGCTTTTTGAGAATCTCGTAAATCATTCATACGCTTAAAAGAAGATCCCAATACATTAAAAATATTTGAGACCAATACTACAAGTTTTCCCACTTCAACACACTTTTTAGAGACCCCAACAAAAGTTAGTTGAAGTTGATGAGCAAATCAATGTATAGAATGAGCCGATCTACTTTCTTGCCTAATCAACATTTTAAGTCCATTGACCTCACCTTGCATATTGCTTGCCCCATCGTAACATCGTCCACGCACACGTGATGGACTCAAAGAATGTTGAGCAAGTAAATTAATAATTGTCTCTTTCAAGGATAATGCACTAGTATCTTGAATAATGTCAATAAGTCGCACCATCACAAATCCCATTCTATCAACATATCGTAATACAATAGCCATTTTCTCCTTGCGTGAAATATCAAAAGATTCATCAACTAGTAAGGCAAAGTAGTCACCATTTAGTTCCTCGAGAATAGCTTTAACTGTTTCTATCTTGCATGCAGTCACAATACCTTTTTGAATTATTGGAGAAGTCATTTGATCATTTTGAGGGCATGTTCAAGTACAGAATCATGAATTTTATCACATCTTTTTGCCTACCATGAGAGAATCTGAAGAAAATTACCCCTACTAAGAGATGATTTAGATTCATTATGACCTCGAAATGCGAGTCCTTGAGTTATGAGAAGTCTTACTACATCAACCGAAACACTTAAGCGGATATAATATCCATGTTTAATTTGATTAGATTGTCTCTCAAATGCAGATTGAATCGACTGTTGTTGCCGTAGTAAATCCTGACATTTCTTTTTTTATCGATTATGTGGGCTATTCTGCCGACCAATATGCTTGTCAAGACCACTCTTTTTATTCCAATTCTTAAATCCTGTAAATGAAAATACTTCACCTCCACCTTGATTAATATTATGATCTTTAAATAGATAGTAATACAAACAATAGGCTGCATCTTTACTAACACTGTACTCCAACCAATCATGATATACATCATCAAACCATTCATGATTAAAACGATGCATTGCTCCAGAAATATTTGTTTGAGGGTACTCATGCACCTCCAAGCGAGGTTGAGACCATTCACAAGATATGCCCTTCTAATAACATCACGATGATTTGGATGATAATTCAATATTGGAGTTCTTTCACCGGGATCAAACTTTAAAGTACTCAAATCAAATTCTTGAGAAGAATGTGATGGTACTTCAGAATGATTGACATTTTCTTCTTGGTTAGATTGACTATGACTATGAGAGGCTAAACTTGATTTCGATATTGGGGTAAAATACCTCTTCATTAAATATTAAGACTGGATTGTAAAGTAAAAGTTTAGTTAGAATTTAAGAGAAATAAACACACATTCAGAAGTCAGAACTATTAAAAAAAAAAGCATACACACAATAAGAACCAAAACCAAAAAGCTTAAGCAATGGTTATTTGATTATTACATTATATTTCTCTATCTCTCCAATTTTAGATTAAGAAAATATATTAAATAAGCCAAACAAAAAAATGAAACTTCAATGATATCAATAATTCAGCCAACTAAAAGAAAGCACATCAAGAAATAACGAAATAAGGTATATAGAAATCTAGGAAGAAAAAAGGGAACCAAAAACATACCAAAGTAGTTATTAATGGAGATGAAAGAAACGATTGCGGATATAGACTTCAAGATTTCAATAATGACCAATCCAACAGAAGCAGCAAGCAGCAGTGATAAGGAGCAGCCAACAACGACAAGCAACAACCAACAACCAGAGCAAGGAAGAAGAGCGATGAAAAAAATAAAACGTGAAAAAATCCTAAAAGAAGAAAAGGGTTTTTTAATATTTGACTTTGTAATTAGGGATTATCAGGGTTTTAATAAAGAAAAAAAAGGTTTTTTAATATTTGACTTTATAATTAGGGATTAAACTAATAAATCTTAAATTCCCGCCTAAAATATAAGCTGATAAAAAATTGCCTCTGTTTGGATTCGAACACGTGACCTCACGTGCAGGAGCGCGAATTCTTGAACCCCCAACGCCACTGAGCTAAGCCTTTGGTGTATGTTCAGGAGGTTCAATATTATATATATATACACATAAATAAAAAATTTAATCATATATATATAGTGTAATTTTTCGACGATGAGGGTTCGGATGAATCCCCTTGGTTCAACGTAAATCTGCCCCTGTTAGAAAGTAATTGTCTAATGATATTATATGTTCGTCGAGTGTGATGAAATTTTTCACGATACATAATACTCACTACCCTTCCTATGGTTGTTTGAATATCGTAATGTATACAAATATGTGTATGTTAAAGAATGACAAAAGTCCCACATCGGTGGTTAATGAGATGGGTGGACTCCTTATAAGGCTTGGGCAATCCTCCTCTTCTGCTTTCCTGAAGCAGAATCCTTTCCAGCATTAGACTTCCCAACCTCTTTAGGCTCAGGTATACCACTGTTTGCAAGAGTGAGGGGATGTCCTCATCATAATCATCTTCGTCTCTCTCTTCCTCCATTTCTCTTCTAAAACCCTAATTTCTCTCTAAAACCCTAAAAGCAACTATGGAGTTTTGGGGTGCTGAGGTGAAAAGTGGAGAGCCCTTAACTGTACAGCCTGGAGATGGGATGGTGTTGCATCTTTCACAGGCATCTCTAGGTGAGTTGAAAAAGGATAAATCAGAAAGTGTCTGCTTGTCAGTGAATATTGATGGCAAGAAACTTGTTCTTGGGACACTCAACTCAGAGAAGGTGCCTCAACAACAATTTGACCTGGTTTTTGATAGAGACTTTGAATTATCACACAACTTGAAAAGTGGCAGTGTCTACTTTTTTGGATACAAGGCAACTAACCCGTTTGCATCCTTATAAGGCTTGGGCAATCCTCCTCCCTTTGAGCTAGCTTTTGGGGTGTGAGTTAAGCCTAAGACCTAATTTAACATGGTATCAGAGCAGGGCCCGTCTCACCCTATGTTGGGGCCCCCAAAATTAAAATTTCCCACTCACCAAATGCTAAGCACTGGGGGTGAGGTGGGGTGTTAAAGAATGACAAAAGTCTCACATCAGTGGTTAATGAGATGGGTGGACTCCTTATAAGGCTTGGGCAATCCTCCTCCATTTGAGCTAGCTTTTAGGGTGTGAGTTACGCCTAAGACCTAATTTAACAGTGTCAAGGGTTTAGATCAAAATGAAATGTCTTCTAAAAATTTCAAGATCTAAATAAATTCTTCATTTGCTTTGTCTAACTTTATAAATTCAAATTTCATTAGCGAGCGAATGATACATATCTATTTGGATGACTTCCAAGATATTTCTCCTCCACCACCAATGATAAAATCTTATCCATTTTTGGATATAGTTTCAACATAATATTTTGAGCTTAATGAAGCGTGAGAAGTTTGATGATTTCAAAGACAAGAAGTTCCATACTTCTAATACTTATAATGGCTACTCATCCGGGGTAGGAGATACAAGTACCATGTTTATATTGAGAAATCTATAAGGGTATGTTTGGAAGGACACCCTGGTAATAAGATTTGGTGTAATTGGCTGTAATTACATTATTTGTCATGTTTGATTGGATAGATAATTACTTGGTCAACAGGTAATTGGTGTAATTGGCAGAGGGTAATTACACTCTACAATTCATAGGTAGAGGTTGTGAATTGCTGGTAATTAATTACATGGTGTAATTACTAGCTGATTACTTTTTAATTACTTTATTTTTATTTTTTGTTTTATTTTTTTTTACTTCTATTATTTTAAGTTCTTTTTTTATTATTATAAATATTTGTAAAAGTTTGTTTTTTATTTTTTATTATTATATTTCATTTTCTTCTTGTTCTCAACCTTACTTTACGTGATTCTATGCAATTTTTTTGTATTATCTATTTCTTTATGCCATGCTTATTTTCTCATTAGCATAATTTTATTAGTATTCTAATTTTTAAATTAAAATAGAATTTATTGTTAAGTAAGGTTATAGACTTACGTTTTCTTTTTTAAGAAAAAAATAAAAATAAATCATATTTATGCATGCTATGTTGAAATTTTCTATAAGAGTATTATGTTAATTTTATTTTTTTTGAATTTATAACTTATGTTATATTTTCAGTTTCATTTGTTTTAGTAATATTGAATTTACATTGCACGTCATTTTTTAATTAGACTTGTTAGATTATATTTTTGTCAAACATTTAATAATTTATGACATTTTATTTATATATTAATCTTTTTATCAAACATGCATTTCACGATGTTCGTAGAAGGTTCATACTTTTAGTTTTTATGATCAATTCAATTGAAATATATTAATTTGAAAAAAATATAAATCAATTATTTTTTCATAATATTAGTTAAAGAAAATATGTTTATTAATTAATATATTTTCAAAAAAGAATATATATCTTAAATATTTAATTTAATGTCATTTATAAAGTTTCTTATTTGTCTAGTATAAATTTTAAATAATTAATTTTTATTTTTAAAATTTAATATAATTTTTTGATTGGAATTGTGTATCCAAACAGTTTATGTGTAATTACACAGTGGCATCCAAACAAGACATGTGTAATTACAATGTAATTGCATTGTGGCAACCAAACAGGTCAGTGTAATTACTAGACAGTGTAATTACTAGGCTGGTAATTACTACCCTAGTAATTACACCAATTTCAATTACCAGGTGACTTTCCAAACAGACCCTTAATCACCTGGTAATTGAAATTGGTGTAATTACTAGGGTAGTAATTACCAGCCTAGTAATTACACTGTCTAGTAATTATACTGACCTGTTTGGTTGCCACAATGCAATTACACTGTAATTACACATGTCTTGTTTGGATGCCACTGTGTAATTACACATAAACTGTTTGGATACACAATTCCAATCAAAAAATTATATTAAATTTTAAAAATAAAAATTAATTATTTAAAATTTATACTAGACAAATAAGAAACTTTATAAATGACATTAAATTAAATATTTAAGATATATATTCTTTTTTGAAAATATATTAATTAATAAACATATTTTCTTTAACTAATATTATTAAAAAATAATTGATTTATATTTTTTTCAAATTAATATATTTCAATTGAATTGATCATAAAAACTAAAAGTATGAAGCTTCTACGAACATCGTGAAATGCATGTTTGATAAAAAGATTAATATATAAATAAAATGTCATAAATTATTAAATGTTTGACAAAAATATAATCTAACAAGTCTAATTAAAAAATGACGTGCAATGTAAATTCAATATTACTAAAACAAATGAAACTGAAAATATAACATAAGTAATAAATTCAAAACAAAAAATTTAACATAATACTCTTATAACAAACTTCAACATAGCAATAAATATGATTTATTTTTATTTCTTCATAATAAAGAAAACGTAAGTCTATAACATTACTTAACAATAAATTCTATTTTAATTTAAAAATTAGAATACTAATAAAATTATGCTAATGAAAAAATAAACATGGCATAAAGAAATAGATAATACGAGAAAATTACATAGAATC